ATTCAGTGAAATAACGGGCCAGATTCTGTTCCTTGCAATCAAGGTGCTTATGGTCCAAGCATTAGATTCTAGTAGGTCCCCAGACCACAAAGGAGCCATGACAGGTCTGCATGAGTGTCCTCCAGAGGCCTGGCGAAGGGGTACTGGGAGCCCAGTGGAGGAGCCGTGGACAACCTGGGAAGGCTGCCTGGAGGCGGCACCAGCCAAGGCAACATCAGAGGGCAGCAGTCACATTAACCGAGGGCTTACTGCCAGGTGCTGTGCTGAGACTCTGTCAGCACGAGCTCTTTCCCTCCTCACAGCTCCATGACCGAAACTACTGTTAGTGAGGAGACTGGCAGCCACACACCTAGCTTTAGGGGCACGTGGGGCTTCAGACCTGGAGTTGGGAGTTGTGGCCACAGGGAGGCCAAGGGCACGACATTCCCTGAGACCACGCATGCACAAAGGTGGAGAGGGAGGTGGGCTTGGCTTATGTGAAGGCTTTCCCCCAAGAGAGTCTGGGTCCCAGATGGAAACACATCACCCCTCAGGGCAGCAGAGATGGGAGGGACACCCAGTTCTGTCCCCATCTGTCTAAATAGGGCAGGAGCCAGGCTGGCTGCCTCCGGGGGAGGCGGGGAGAGGTGGAGGGAGGGGCCAGAGCGCAGCTGCTCCAGCCTTGAGTGTGAGCCAGATGGGAGAGGCTGCAGCGCCCAGCTCATAGGCTTCCCGGGGCCAGCGGGGCAGAGGGGGCCCAGAGCAGAGTGGCCTGAGAAGCACAGTGTTGTAGTGGGAGATTTCTGGTTACAGATCTGACTGTGGTGAAGGCTAGCCCTGGACAGTGGCTGAGGCATAGGCCCCATACTCTGGCCCCAAACAATCTCTGGTAAGCTCTATGGGTCCTGGCCTCCTCAACTAGATCATAAAGTCCCAGACCGGGGGCCAACCTCATTAGGACCTTGATCCTGCCTCTTTGATGGGGGGTCAAGAAAACCACTTATCCATGCTGAATGAGGGCTCATATAGCTCCCTGAGTCCAGAGGATAGAACTGAAGGAAATGAGCACAAGCTATAGCAAGAGGTATTCTAGTTAGACACAAGGAAGCACTGGTCTGGGATGCTGAAGGGAGTAGTAGTCTCTGATGGTCTAGCTCTTTGGTGGGGATCTCTGTCTCCTTTCTTCACTAGTTCCTCCATGCTGTCTCACCTGTGTCTTGGTTCCCTCTCTCCTTTCCTGCTGACCTTCCCCTTCCTTTTTTTTTTTTTTTTTAAGATTTTATTTATTTATTTGACAGAGAGAGATAGCACAAGCAGGAGAGCGTCAGGAAGAGGGAAAGGAAGAAGCAGGTTCCCTGCTGGATCCCAGGACCCGGGGATCATGACCTGAGCCAAAAGCAGGTGCTTAACTGACTGAGCCACCCAGACACCCCTGGCCTCCCCCTTCTGCCTTCTTTGTGTGAGTGGGCCACACCCCCCAGAATTTGTCCCAGTATTGCTGGGGGCCTCTGAACTTGGCCACACTCAGTTCAGCCAATGTTTGCTGAGCCCCATACCCGCTGAAGGTGAAAGGGCCTCTCCCAGGGAAAGCAGTGCACACACCCAGGGCAGAGCAAGGACCACATAATGAGAAGGGAAAAGCCAGACTGATAGGGCTCAGAGACCACAGCTCCCCAGGGGCAGGGAAGGCTTCAGAGAGGTGGCAGGAGAACAGAAACAAGTGGGGACAGGGGCAGTTTGGGTAGAGGGGACAGATGAGTGATGGACGGAAGCAGAGCGTAGAATATTCCGGAAATGGCAGGTAGACTGGCATGGCTGCCAAACTGGCATGAGCGGGGTCTGGTGAGATAACAGGAAGGTCCTGAACCTCAGAATGAATAATTGTGCTTAACTGTGCAGGCAATAGGGAACTACTGAAGGCTTCGGAGGAAGGGCATGACATTACCTGGGCTGGGATTAGAAGGGTTTCTCGATTTAGCTCCTATCCGGGGATCTCATGAAAGGCACCCGTCCCCCATTCTGAGTTCATGGGCTTGTCAGGGGTTCCCGGGGTGGGGGGTGGGGGGAACAATTGGTGTCTCAAATGTCACCTTTCAGTGAGGCTTGTCCTGATGACCCTATTTAATAATGAAACTTCCCAGGCTCTCCCAGTCCCCCCTTCTTCTCTATTTCCCCCGGATTGATCCCCTGTCATCCTTTATGCTGCTCACTGTCTGTCCTCACCCCCATGAGAATGAATGAAGACGCCATGAGTTTAGGGCCCATGTCTATCTGTCTTGTCACTACATCTCCCAGTGCTCCACCTAATGCCTGGAATCCCAACAAATTCATTCATTCGTTGCATGAATAAAGAGGAACATAGCACCCTGCGTGAAGCAGCGTGGTCTGGTGTTTTCTTTCCCCGTCACTCCACTCCCAGCTTCCTGAGCTTGGCAGCACCAGCGTGGAAATCTCCGCCCAGAGCTCTGCTTCTGCCCCGCCGAGCCTTGATCCCCTGCCAGGCGTCTGGGAAGATCTGGACTGTTCCTCCTCCCCTCCCTTGCCAAAGATACCACCACTTCCCTTCATCTTGGAGCGGAGGCCAAGTGAGGAAATTTTCAACTGAGGAAAGTGAGAGACTCGCAGGACTGAGGCAGCTGCCCCGGGCAGCTTGGAAGAGCGCCTCTGACGGATGGAACAGAACCACCACAGGTCACCGAGCGCCCGCCCCGCATAGGCACTGGACAGGTGCCCTGGACATGTTGATCCATTTGGCCTCTCAGAAACCCTATGGAATGGGTTTTATTCTTCCGTTTTACAGACGGAAAAATAGAGGCTCAGAGAAACTAAGTGACATGGCACGGTCTCCCCGCCTGGTGAGGAGCCTGGTTTTGGACACGGGTCTGTCCTACTCCAACCCAGTGCCTCCTCTTCCGTGCCAGGAGCCTCTCTTCTGCTAGGGAAACAGTGGAGGTGTGGGGCGTGGGGCAGGCCGGGCTCTCCGTCCGGGGCACCAGATCACAGCTGGTCTCTGCTGGCCTCAGGCTTCCCAGCCAAGCTCCAGGAGCAGAGGTTCTGGTCACCTCCCGGTGCTGAACAAGGACAAGGACATCCTGTCCACCTGGCCTGAACTCATCCAAGAATGGGAGTAATAACTGTGGGCACTGCCTGCTCTGGCCTGGGCTGGGCGTCCTCTCCTCACCCTGATGGGTACCCAGAGGGCTAGAGTCCAAATGCTGCTCCCTGCCTTTGAGGCCCCTGCAGATCCAAGGGAGCCCAAACCTGCCCCTTGGGCAGAGCCAGCATCCAGCATCCAGGGCAGAGCTGGGGAGGCTAAAGAGCCTGGAGCAAACTCCCAGCTGTGGGGCTGTCCAGGGCTGCACATCCGTTCCTTGGGGACTTGGTTCCCCAAGGTGGAAACCCTCTCTCTCAGCAAACGCCACCGATTTCTTATTATGTGTAAGGAAAATGATAAAGCTTCTGTTTTTGAGGCCCTTAAAGGACCTCATAGACGTAGTCACAGAATGGGCAACGGGGAGCCGTGGATGACTGTGGAGCAGGGCAGGAAGGGCATTACCCTGCTTCAGAAAGCAGAGTGTGGCTTTTGTCATGACCTGAGCTAACGTGTGCGAAGCACTCACTGAGTGCTGGAGGTGGTCCCAAGTGTTTTACAGATATTAGCTTTAATCCTCACAGCTCCCCTGGGGTACTGTTGCTATCCCCACTCTACAGATGAGAAGACTGACATACACAGAGATGGCAGGGCTAGTAGTGGTGGAGCTGGGACCCGAACCCTCCATGCCCCTCAGTCTGTCTTCATCACCACGATTTGATGCCGCCTCTCACAGAGATCGGAAACTGGAGGGGCAAGGGTCTGGCATGGGCTGGGGCGGAGGGCATGGCCAGAGGGATGGAAGTGAGATCCCGCTCCTTGCCCTGGGGGGCCTCTCAGGCTGGACCAGGAAACTAGGAGGGAGACGTGGACATCCAGCACTTTGATCTGCACAGAAACGAACTACATCTAGGACCGCTTTTGTGGATAATGGCAACAATCCCAATCTTCTCGGCCAACAGCCCACACAGGATAACTACTTCTTTGGCGGCAAAGACATTGTAGAGACTCTCAAATGGAGATATCTTATCAGTGGGACAGCCTCCATCAATCCCCCAATCCTTTCTTGATTTTGTTAACTTTCTTACTTAAATTGGGGAGAAAGCCTCACTGTGATGCTAACTTGGCTTTAACCTCTTCTAGTTTGGGATGTCCGATCACCGCCAGCGTCCCTGTCACAGAGCGGATGGGTTGCTAGGAGCCACTGGGTAGGTGGAAATAGAGAAGAGGTGACGGGGTGGTTCGGGGGAGAGACTGGCTGAGGCCAGGCAGGGAAGAGGCAGCCGAACCCGGGAAGGGCTGCCTGAGACCCTAGGGTATCCTAGACGGTTTTGACAAAATTACATCTGGTTTCTCTGAGACATTCAGCTACAACACTGTCAACAGCACTACTGGTATAAGTAAGCCTTGAGAAGTAAAAAGAGACTGAGGTAGGATATAGCACTAAGATCCCTTCCAGCTCGAAGAGTCTACGAAGATACCATCTGTCATAATCCCTTCCTGAGGAAAACGCGTCGAAAGGCAGGGCACTCTTGGAAGGGATGTGTCTGGCTGCATTCTGGGCCTGTCCCAGACTGAGCTCGGCGCGGGCAGGAGCCACACGGGACCCAGCTAACCGCTCAGCCGGGGGGCGTTTCTGTGGGGTGGGGGACATCCTGACCAGAGCCAGAGTAGCCTCTGGCCCCCTTAAGGACCAGGCTGCAGGAGCCAAGATCACCTGGGACAGTGTCCTTCAGAAAGAGGACTGGGCTTTCCTGCACCCCCCATCAGGCCGTGGGTTTAGGACGACTTCGGGAGAGCGCTCACCCAAGCCGTGGCTGGAGAGCCCCAGGTCACCGGCGATGGGGTGGCCGCATTTCCTCAGGCTGACAGAGGAAGCTGGTGTTAGGGTCTTAGCACTGCTGGGTGGGACGGTGGAAAGAGCACCTACCTGGACAAGCAGGTGAGGTGTGCGGCTCAGGCAGATGCCTGGTCACGGGCCCTCCCTCCTCTTGATCAGTCCTCAGGTGCTTCTGAGTGGCCCAGCCTTGTCCCTGCTCGGTTCCTGACCACGACGATGGCTCCTCCAAGGCTCTGTGGCACAGGGACAACAAAGCACCTCAGATCTCCCCAACCTCCCTGCGGCTCCTCACCCAGCCCAGCAGCCTAAGCCCCACACGCGTGTCAGCATCTCGCCAGGAGGCCTGCCTCAGGGGAGTTCTCATGGGGGGCGGGGCACCCCGGTTGACCCCCCAGCTGGTCCCCTAGTTCTGCATCCAGCTGCTCATCCTTGGGGTGGGTGAGCTGGGGAGCCACCCTTCATCCTAGGTGAGCATGAGCCTGAGGGGAGGGACCCCACGGACGGAGCAATGCCCTCAGAGTCTAAGCACTGGGACGCCTGGGTGGCTCAGTCGGTTAAGCGTCTGCCTTTGGTTCAAGTCATGATTCCAGAGTCCTGGGGTCGAGTCCCGCATCGGACACCACGCTCAGTGGGGAGTCTGCTTCTCCCTCTGCCTGCCGCTCCCCTGCCTGTGCTCTCTCTCTTTCTCTCTGACAAATAAAATATTAAAATTAAATAAAATAAAAAATAAAAGTCCCTCCTGGTGACTTGGGAGCACCCCACTTTCCCATGTGGGGGGACTTCAGCCCAGATACCCAGACGCGGCCAGCAGGGCTGAGCTGGGGAGCTCAGAGGGGCCCATATCCATCAGGGGACTTCAAGTAGGACTTCAGCACCTTTTGGTGAAGGGGGAGGCTTGCTAACATGTAGATTTACGGGCCCTACCCCAGCCCACTGAATTAGAATCTCCAGGAAGGTGCCTGGGAATGTGCATTTTAAAAGGTTTCCCATGTGGATGCATGCGAAATAAGAGTCGCTGGACTACGTGTCAGAAAAGGGCCACGACCAAGGATGAAGCTTTGACCACATGCATAAAGGGGTCATTGGTCTCTCTCCCACAAGCAGCATCACAGGAGCCCCGTCTCTGCAGACAGACTACCCAGGGGTCCCCAGCAGCTGCTGAAACCTCTCCAGGCCCCCTTTCCCTGAGGACAAGATGAAGACTGGAGATGTCTCTTTGGCTCTTCCAGATCGAAAATTACAAATGTCAGAGAAGGGAAGCCCATGAAGAAATATAAAAAGAAAGTTCAGAGGGAGGCACTTAACCAGTATTCTCCCTTTCTGTTTTTCTTAACTATTCTTTTTTTTTTTTTAAAGAATTTATTTATTTATTTGACAGACAGAGATCACAAGTAGGCAGAGAGGCAGGCAGAGAGAGAGAGGAGGAAGCAGGCTCCCTGCTGAGCAGAGAGCCTAATGCGGGGCTCGATCCCAGGACCCTGGGATCCTGACCTGAGCTGAAGGCAGAGGCTTTAACCCACTGAGCCACCCAGGCGCCCCTTAACTATTCTTTTTCAATTCTGAAAATAACATGCTTATCGGGGGAAAAAAAATCAAAGCATTCAAACTAAGGCACAGTGAAAAGTCCCCTTGTTCCCCCAAACCTCTGTCCCACTCCCAAACACAGCCACATTTCCTGTGTAAGTTTCCTTCCAAAAATTTCCCATAAATATTGACAAATACATATCCATGCCTGCATCTTTATTCTAAGCCCAGCCTGGAACAGATTCCGGTACTCTGTTTCGTTAGTTAACACACACACACCCCATCTCTGCATTAACACACACCCCACACCTCACACACAGCACACACACGTCCCTCGTTTTTACAGCAGTTCACGTGTTCCACTGAAAAACGCACTGTAATTTCTGTGAGTCTACTCCTGTTAATGGGTATTTAGAGGTTGTTTCTACCTTTTGCCTGCAAAAAAAATCTTTGGTTATATATCTTTGTACCTATGTGTGAGGTGAGCTGTAGGATAGAAAGTAAGGAGTTGAGGGTTACATGCATCTAAAATTCTGATAGATGTTTCCGAATTGTCTTCCAAACAGGATGAACCAGTCTGAACTGCCCCAGCCACGCACAAGACTGCCTGCACCCCCCGACCCCGATACTGTTTGTTATCAAATCTTTAAACTTTGCCAATACTGGGGCGCCTGGGTGGCTCAGTGGGTTAAAGCCTCTGCCTTTGGCTTGGGTCATGATCCCAGTCGTGATCCCAGAGTCCTGGGATCGAGCCCCACATAGGGCTCTCTGCTTAGTGGGTAGCCTGCTTCCCTTCCTCTCTGCCCGTCTCTCTGCCTACTTGTGATCTCTGTCTGTCAAATAAATAAATAAAATCTTAAAAAAAAATTTTAAAACCTTGAAAACTGATGTCTTGTTTTGATGTGTCATTTTGTAATTATCAGAAAGAGATGTTATTTTCATGTTTATTGATTGATTGGCCTTTGCATTTATTTTTCTGTGAACTGCTTATGTCCTCTCCAATTTATCTTACTGATTTTTTTAAAGCATCTTTCTTTGTTGTTGTTGTTGTTGTTTTTTTTAATTTAAATTCAGTTTAGTTAACACACAGTATATTATTAGTTTCAGGGGTAGAATTTCGAGATTTATCAGTTGCATATAATACCCAGAGCTCATTACCTCGCATCCCCTCCTTAATGCCCATCACCCACTGACCCCATCCTCCTACCTCCTTCCCCTCTGGCAACCCTCAGTTTGCTTCCTAGAGTTCAGCATCTCTTATGGTTTGCTTTCCTCTCTGTTCTTATCTTATTTTTCCTTCCCTTCCCCTATATTCATCTATTTTGTTTTTGAAATTCCACATATGAGGGAAATCTTATGGTATTTGTCTTCCTCTGACTTATTTCACTTAGCAAAATACCCACTAGTTCCATCCACATTGTTGCAAATGGCAAGATTTCATTCTTTTTGATGGCTGAGTAATAGTCCTGTGTGTGTGTGTGTGTGTGTGTGTGTGTGTGTGTGTGTGTGTTTGTGTGTGTGTGTGTGTACACCACATCTTCCTTATCCATTCATCTGTCGATGGACATCTGGGCTCTTTCCAGTTTGGCTGTTGTGGACATTGCTCCTATAAACATTGGGGTGCGTGGATCACTACATTTGTATCCTTTGGATAAATATTTAATAGTACAAAATTGCTGGGTCATATAGTAGCTCTATTTTTAACTTTTATTTTTTTAAAGATTTTATTTATTTGACAGAGAGAGAGAGATCACAGGTAGGCAGAGAGAGAGAGGAGGAAGCGGGCTCCCTACTGAGCAGAGAGCCTGTTGTGGGGCTTGATCCCAAGACCCTGAGATCATGAACTGAGCCGAAGGCAGAGGCTTTAATCCACTGAGCCACCCAGGTGCCCCTATTTTTAACTTTTTGAGGAACCTCCATGCTGTTTTTCCAAAGTGACTGCAACAGCTTGCATTCCCACCAACAGTGTAAGAGGGTTTCCTTTTCTCCGCATCCTTGCCAACATCTGTGTTTCCTGTCTTGTTAATTTTAGCCATTCTGACTGGTGTGAGGTGGTATCTCATTGTGGTTTTGATTTGTATTTCCCTGATGCTGAGTGGTGGTGATTCTTAAGAGGTTTTTCTAAACTGTCATAGGTCTCTTTTATTTTATTTATGACATTTTAGGCTTACAGAAATTTATTTTTCTGTAGTCAGAAGAATTTCTTACTAGAGCATCTTAAGAATACTTGCCCTTGTTTTTCACTAGTACAGTTTGGGTTTTCTCCTATCTTCATTTTAATCTTTTTTTTTTTTCTAGAATATATTTTGGTGTAAGGACTATAGTGGGGCCCAGCTTTATTTTTCCCCCAAGGAGGTAGAGAGTTGCCCCAAAGTCATGTAGGAATATTCTCTTCCTTCCCTCCATCCCACCATCCTTCTCTAAATTTAAAATCTCAATTTAACCATGTAGAAGGATGGACACAAAGAGCATGACCTCTGAGTCAAGTGCTGGTTCAAATTCCAGCTTCATTGGATCTAAGCGAAGTTACCTGACCTTCCTGTGCCTTGGTTTCCTCCTCCAAAAATGATAATAATAACAGCATTACCTATGATGAGGATTAAGTGAGTTATTTCAGGTACGGGGCTGTCTGTAACAGACTCACCTGAGCAAGCTTTAAGACACATGTAGGCTGCAGGCAAAAGGATGGGAGAAGATACTGTATGCAAATGAGAACCAGAAGAGGAAAACAAATTATCTATAAAGAACTTCTCAAACTCAACACACAAGAAACAGATAATCATGTCAAAAAATGGGCAGAAGACATGAACAGACACTTCTCCAATGAAGACATACCAATGGCTAACAGACACATGAAAAATGTTCATCATCACTAGCCATCAGGGAGATTCAAATCAAAACCACATTGAGATATCACCTTACGCCAGTTAGAATGGCAAAAATTAGCAAGACAGGAAACAACGTGTATTGGAGAGGATGTGGAGAAAGGGGAACCCTCTTACACTGTTGGTGGGAATGCAAGTTGGTGCAGCCACTTTGGAGAACAGTGTGGAGATTCCTTAAGAAATTAAAAATAGAGCTTCCCTACGACCCTGCAATTGCACTACTGGGTATTTACCCCAAAGATACAGATGCAGTGAAAAGAAGGGCCATCTGTACCCCAATGTTTATAGCAGCAATGGCCACGGTCGCCAAACTGTGGAAAGAGCCAAGATGCCCTTCAATGGACAAATGGAGAAGGAAGATGTGGTCCATATATACTATGGAGTATTATGCCTCCATCAGAAAGGATGAATACCCAACTTTTGTAGCAACATGGAAGGGACCGGAAGAGATTATGCTGAGTGAAATAAGTCAAGCAGAGAGAGTCAATTATCATATGGTTTCACTTATTTGTGGAGCATAAGAAATAACACAGAGGACATGGGGAGATGGAGAGGAGAAGGGAGTTGAGGGAAATTGGAAGGGGAGATGAACCATGAGAGACTATGGACTCTGAAAAACAATCTGAGGTTTTGAAGGGGCGGCGGGGGGTGGGAGGTTTGGGGGACCCTGGTGGTGGGTATTATGGAGGGCACATATTGCATGGAGCACTGGGTGTGGTGCATAAACAATGAATTCTGTTACACTGAAAAGAAATTAAAAAAAAAAAAAGGGATGGGAGAAGATACTGTATGCAAATGAGAACCAGAAGAGGGGGAAAAAAAAA